GGCACCGAACCCATGTATTACACCCTACACCTATTTTAAGGGGTGGGTGTACAACCAAAATTGGTGGATAATCGTAATCCTAGTGTAAAAAGATATTGTACAAATATAAGAAAGATGACTTCCTAGTGTGTCGCAGCGTGCAGTGTGTACTGTGTGATAACATTAGAAATAGCCAATAACTAATAATTTAATTAATAGTTTTACCCAGGGGCAGGAACCGTATCAATTTTTATCGGTTCTGTTAACGGTTACGGTTTCGGTTTTGGTTTTACGGTTTTCGGTTTATGTAACGGTTAGCGGTTTTAGAAATTTCGGTTTATGTAAAGGTTACCGGTTTTAGAAATTTCGGTTTCGGTTTAGGAAACCGGTTTTTCGAAAAAAAAAATTTTGAAAATTTTAAATTATTAATTTGTAATCTCATTAAGTTGGTATTCTGTTATCTGTTATCTATACTACTACTATATTATAGAAATCTGTGGCAGTTCAGGCCCATGATAAGAATTATGCTATGTGATAAGAAATTATTATAGCTGATAATCGTGATCGAAATTCGAAATCAAGACTCACCTGTCAAATTGATTAAATTGCGAGATAGGCCTTGGCGCCATCCATGATACATTGTATATTATAATCTTAATTAAGATGTTATATAAATATAAAACATTTTAATATGATAATATATTACTCACTATCGTTCCACATAATATGAAGAGCCAATTCCAAGAATATCAGAGAAAGTATTACCAATTGCAGCTGCAGCCATTGTTGATATAGTATTTACATCACCAACCGTTCTTTCAATTGATTCACCCTAAAAAATGAAGTATAGTCATAAACACATAAATATTATATACTAATAGTAGTAAGTAATTGTTTTCATACACATATTAACATCACTGAGTTGTCCAAAAATCCAAACATAATACAAGGAATAGCATTTTGCAATCCCACTGTTGAAGAAAAAAATTGATCAAATAACAACATTAATTTTAAATAAGTATTTATTACTTACCTCTAAATAATTGTGCTCTAGTTGGTTCTGGTACAGTTTCCGCTAATTTAAATTAAATATTAAACAGAATTAACATATAAATGTAACAATTGTATTAATTAACATTTTTTTTTATAAGTTTAGTATAATCAATAATGGTTAATATTTAGTTTATCTTACTATTAGTTTCTTCTATCCATGTTGTAACCATATATATTAAAGAATAAATATCTATGGTTGTAACTTGACATAATACAATAAAGTGTAATAAATATAATATAAATTATAATAAATATAACATTCCCAAGACTAACAATTAACATGTCCATACAAATTATTTTATGCTATATAAAGCGTGTTTCGCAGAATACAGGGTGATTGGAAGAATATAAAACTATTTGTGTTACGCAAACAAAATTAATTTTAATTATGATTTTGTTTCCGATTATTAATCAACATTATTTTAACCACTGCTCTATAATTATTATTTTCAATTACTAATTAGTTACATAGGATAAAGTATGTTGCAGAGCCGCGTATCGCCGGTTTCGACGCATAGTCGGCAGTCCCACGTATTTTCAGGTATTTTTTTATTTTATTTTCTTTAGTTAATTTTTTAAATTTTTGATCATTTTAAAAAACTATGAACTATTGAACTAAAATTTGAACTAGTTCATATTTAATGTCTTGAACTTGAACTTGAACTAATTCATTTATAGAAAGAACTTTCCCATCCCTGGTAAATACATAAAAACGAATAACGATCTTAACAATATTGAATTTGTGACTTTTAAGCATTCGTTGAATCTGTGTCCAGTTTTTTGTGTTTCCATCAAAAGTATGTCCAAAATAATTAAGAAGTGGCAAATCATAAAATGAATCATTGTAATGAAGCTTACATTATATATTTCAAGTTTCAACTACTTAAAACAAAACGGAAAAGATAGAAAGATAGATTATTTTAACTCGGGTGAAATCAGGTATGGTAGGTACAGCTTTATGTTATACAACTATATATTATTCTTGAAATTAATTTATAATATATTATAATTAATATAATAAATCAGGTAGGTAGGTACAAAAAAAATGATGAATTTGATTTTACTCACCAGACTCATCCTGTGCTTCTTCAAATGTTACTGGTGAATCTAAACTCAAATTAAAAAGATCTTAGGTACCACCTGACTATACATATCTCCTATTTAATACTTTAGTTATATTTTTCTTTACCATCATTTTCTGATATTCTTACGCCAACAGTAATATCTGAAGGAACTTCGTCTAATGCGCCTTGTGCTAACATAGAAAATCTCCCAACTCCATCAACGTGATGGTTTTGGTTACTCATTGTTTTTAACGGCCGAGGAAAACTTATAAAAAAAAGGTTGGTTACAGAGGTTGATTGAACTTACAAATTACAATACATATTAAACTCTATATATTCAGTAATAATTATTCATATTAGCATAGATAAGTATATAATATAATATGTTCATTAATTGTAATAAGAAATTATTCAATTATTATCATATAATATTACATAAAATCGCCCACGGATTCTCAGAAAATATTACATAAAATCGTCCATGGATTCTCATAAAAAATATAATATTGTATATTAAACGCGTGTATCAACTCCAAGGTGTAAATGGTGTTCTAAGTATCGTCTATAAATCTGGCTAGTGTTCATCAAAGATATTAATTAAAATAAACATCATATTTTTAAAACCTCTAAAAACAGCTCAACATGTTTTGAAAATGTTATCAAGTATGGGAATTCATAAAATAAACATATAGTGTAAATTGTATGTATCTACTGTATCTACATGCAGTTATTCGTTTTTGAATTACAGCAAAATATAAAAATCGCTACATGAGAAATCGAAATAAGGTAGACAAACTTATGAGGAATCTTGTCTTACATTTTCAAATCTTGGATTTAAAAAGAAAAAATTTATGAATTTCTACCTCAAAATAATTTGCACATTTTTGCAAAGCTGGGCAAGTTAATGATTTTTTTTAACTCAGTTAAGTTAAGTTAATATGCACCAATAACAAAAAGTTAAAAGTTAAAAGTTAATTTAACAATATGTTAATACTCAGTTGTTAAGGCCCCCGGTGCCGGCTATTTATTAAGGAGCAAATTATTGGCAACCTAATTCACTTATCGTCTTGATGTCGCATGATATTGTGTGTATGTAGTAGTGTAAATGATTATTAGTGTGAGTGAATCCCTTCTCCTACCCGTCTACCATCTAACCGAACAGGTTTATTACCTACGATCACGGCTCGCTGTACCCGAAGCTCTATTTATAAACATCACATAAATTTACCAATACACTAAATTATTATAATTATCTTGATAATGTTATTTACAAATAACAACAGGGGCGTACTCAAGGGGGGGGGGGGGGGGTTCGTGGGGTTTGAACCCCTCCCATGACCTTACTAACCGATGCACTTTTGTGCGTTCTTGTTTATACATAATATAATTCACAGGAGCAATTTTCTAAAAAAAAATTTTTAAGAAGGGAAAAAATAAACAAATATATTTATTTTTAATTTTATATCAACATGCATTATACAACGATTACAAGCATTATCTGTTAAGAACTGTATTATGATAACCAGATAAAATTTAAATCAAACATACAAGGTGTATTGATAAGTTGTCGTCACTCTGGACCCCTATACGTATACACTCTTGATTGAAAATATTACCACAGTTCTAAAGTCACCAGAGCGCGCTTCTTGTCCTACGAAGGCCTGTATATTCATTCTGTTAAATGCAAAATGTCTTAAAACTTCAGAATTAAAATGCTAATATTTTTTAAAATTGAAGTCAGTATTTACAAAAACATTGAATCATAAAAAGTTTTTTTTTTAATTGAGTTGGTATAATAAATTTGGAGCCTGTAATTATACATTACATTTGCATTTTATTCATTGGCAATATTTTTATCGAGTAGACATCAATTAGAAAAAAATATTATGTATAATTTAGTCACTTCTTTGGATATTTGCATCCTTCTTAAAATCTTTAAATTAAATTAAAACTATTATGATTCTACTCCTAATTCTAATAGTAGTCTGGTAGAGTGGAGTATTATTTTCTAGTGCTCATAAAAAACTAAAAACATGTTTATATTTTGCATATTTTATTTTATGATTAGGTATATTATTTATATTATAATATTATTCAATAATAGTTATCTTATAAACTTCAAACTAATTTTGAAAAATTGTTTAGTTTTTTTGGTGTTTTCTTGTTTTTAGCACCTTGCTCATTTTTTTCTTTTGTAAGTGAATATCTTTCTTGTTTTGACATAATGCGTTATGATATATTTGGTTAATATTTGACTGTGTATTGAGCAACCAACCTTTGTCAAAAAATTTGTTTATATATTTCTTCAATAAATATAAATTATGTTAGAAAAATAAACAGTGAAAAATGTATATGTAGTTTTCAAATTGAAATGCAACATTAAAAACATGATCTTTTACCGGGACAGCTAGTTATATTTTATTATATTTAGATATTTTACACTATAATCTAGTACAGTATTTCTCAATTTTTTTTTGTCGTGAGGCTCCCTAAATTTAATGTAAAACTGTCAAGGCCAATAATCAAAATTATTAATTGTTTTTTCTAAATTAGGTATATACTAAAATTACTTGTACTATTTCACACAGATTAATTATTAAAATGTATAGTAATTTAATATACTTTTGAAAAATATTAATGATAGTATTAAAATTTAAGTATTTATTCTTTTTCCATAAACTCTTAAAGTCAAAAAATAAAAATAAAAATAAAATAATAACATTTTTTACTATAGTGTGCCTGGAAGTTCTAAGTACATTGAACCCTACAATAATCTTAAAAGAAAACATGAACACGTTAATCAATCGGAATCGGAATATTGTTCTTTAAATAAACATTTTTCATTTTTGAAATTTATTTTCTGTAGAGTACATTACCATGTTTATATTTAATATTTTTAAAAAGGAGGTGACAAAGTCCCCGTGATAAAAAACAAAATGTTCAACCCCCCCCCCCCCCCCCCCCATTGAAAATTCCTGAGTACGCCCCTGAATAACAACATAAACATATTATATTACTGTCAATGAGTACGCGGTGCCATATGGGTTGTTGTTTTGTAATGGGATTACGTAATATCATGTATTTGCTCATAAAAACAACCAGGAATGCGACCACACCCAAAAGTGTTTTCGACTAAGAATACCACTTTCATAGTCGTGAGGTCCATATCAAGGACGACTGTACACGCGCCGCTCACTTCAAAGGACGCCGCCACCATATATGCCTGAGTTAGATGTACCAGGGCCGCCAAGACCGAGCGGGCCGCTTAGCCACCAGCCATTACACACAACTTACACGGAGATTATCGACTACTACAACGAGTCAACTCACGACGCTGCAATTCACCACGACTATATTAATTATTATTGGTTTTAATAAATTACAATTGAGTTATATTTAAATTGACTACATTTTATTGTAAAAGTGCAACAAGCTTTTGGATCCCTGAAGGGCCGCATGTAACTGTTTGTTGGTTACACCTACACCGTTACTTGTCTTATTCTAAGTGATTTACCTATATAATATAATTTATTATTGATAAATAAACAATGAACAAAAAATATGGAATAAAATCTAAAACAGTTGCAGCTTATAGGAAAAAAAAAGGAGGAAAAATCGCACGGTAAGTAAAAACTGTAAATGCTAAAATATATATTTTATTATAGATTTATAGACTCAAGTTAAAAATATTGTAAGTATTAAACTATAAACTAATCTATTAAGTAATTTATTCTATTTATGATTGTACAATTATAATTTTAGAATCTGATGAATGTCTTGATTTTACAATGATAATATATTAATATGTGTTTTTTATTAATTTATTTTATTATATTTTTTTATTTTTTTGTCTATAACCACCTTCTTCAGGACAGTAAAAATTTTTAGATTACATAATAGTATCTTTTATGATAGGAAAATAACTCTAGTTGGTTCTTTAGTACAATAGTTTTCCAAAGCGCCGTGAAACATTAAAGAACATTTAAGACACCCGGTGCCAATGTGAATTTTTGAGCAAAAACGATTTTTGTTTTAAACACAACCGTAGATTTATATAAGTCAACAAAATGGCGTACATTCGTTGCCCATCGCGTGGGAGAGATACAAGAAAAAACGTCGGTAGCTGATTGGAATCATGTTGACACGAAAGACAATCCAGCTGACATTATTTCTCGAGGTTGTTGTCCGTCCAAATTAACCAATACATCGTTGTGGTGGTATGGTCCTGATTGGTTGGTAAACGATGAAAAAAACTGGCCTAAATCGAATAAAAACGAAAATATTCTAAATTTAGAAATACCTGAAGCTCGGTCAGTGAACTTAGCTACGTTCGACGCAAGACCGCAATATCCGTCACTGATAAACCGATACTCGTCTTTAAATAGATTATTGCGCGTCGTAGCGTATTGTTAACGTTTTTGTTATAACCTGTCGCATAAAAATTCAAAACTCGACGGTGTGTTAAGTATCGAAGAAATTAACAAAGCACGGATATCTATAATAAAATGTATTCAAAGGGAAGCTTTTGCGCGTGAAATTCGAGATTTGATTAATTTAAATAAGGTAGCCGTATCGAGTAAATTATTCCGACTATGTCCGTTTTTAGACGAAAATAATATTGTACGTGTAGGAGGACGATTGAAAAATGCCACTACGTTAGACGTCGATCAGCGCCATCCAATCGCATTGCCGGCGGATTGTCACTTTACACGGTTATTATTTGAGTATGAGCATGAGCGATGCATGCATGGAGGTCCACAGGCGACACTATGCTCGATACGCATACGATATTGGCCGATAAATGGTCGAAATATAGCCAGAAGTGTAGTGCATGAATGTGTAACGTGTTTCCGTTATAAGCCAATAGTCGTGCAGCCGATTTTGGGCAATCTACCCGCGGAACGAGTAGAACCGACGCGCGCTTTTTCAAGTTGCGGTATTGATTTTGCCGGCCCTTTTATGATCAAGACAAGTGTGCGGCGTAATGCCCCTTTAGTAAAAGCGTATGTATGTATTTTTGTTTGTTTTTCAACAAAAGCAGTACACATGGAATTAGTCGGAGATCTGAGCACACCAGCATTTATTAACGCATTAAATCGTTTTTTTTGACCGACGAGGAAGAAGTATTACTATTTATACCGACAACGCGACTAACTTTGTTGGAGCAAATCGCAAAATGAAGGAATGGAGCGATCTATTTCATTCGGAACAAAATAAAAAAAAGGTACATGACGCGTTAACAGACCTCGGCGTTCAATGGCGTTTTATTCCCCCGCGATCACCGCACTTCGGTGGGTTATGGGAAGCCGCGGTCAAGTCCATGAAGCAGTTATTACAGAAGACTGTAGGTAACGCTCACTTGCGTTTTGAAGAGCTTAGTACTGTGCTTACGCGTGCCGAAGCTTGCCTAAATTCCCGACCTATTACTCCTATGTAGTGTTTGAAAATTTCATGAAATTTAAAAAAATGAAATATTTCGTGAAATATTTCATGAAATATTTCAAAATATGTGAAATATTTCAGTATTTTAATATATTTTGTTTTATTTTTAAATAATTTTTATATTTACATATAACTGTCATAAATTACCTTCATCACTATATGGTACCTGTATGTATACCTAACCTTTGGTATTATACATTTAAATTGGTATTCAAAATATTTTAATATTTTAATGTTTAAATGATACAAGTAGGTATACAATATTATACATGTTTATTGTATAATTGCACCACTGGATGGGACAGTGTTATCAAGCATCGTCTTCGCCAGTTCAAAACTCAGGAGACTATAACTATACATTTGAGTACTTGACAATTCATCAACAACAAAATATAGCAACATTTTCTGTAAGATCTGAACTACATATTATACAAATATTTTTATGTGAACTTACAAAATATGTGAAAGCAAATGATGTTAGTTATAAGTTATAACTATTCGTCGATACAATTTAGTATTAATACTCAGAGAACATTATACAGGAGTGTTAAGAAAATACTGAGTCAGTGGCGTGTATCATAAAAAAAAAATTGGTGTTGCTCAAATAATGTTAGGTGACATACACTTAGAATACTGTTTACTGGCCTATAAAATGTCCTATTTTTCTTCTATCAATACCCACCCACCCATATTTAAGGTGCTGGCCCATAGGCGCAACTAGGGGGGTGCTTGGGGGTGCTGAAGCACCCCCAAACTTTAATTTAGCACCCCCAGTTCAAAAACAACAAAAATTGAAAAATCATATGAAAAAAATAGTTTTTTTTAGCTTAACTTAATGTTTTTTTTTTATTTCTTCGTTTTTAGCAGAAACACAAATTATTGTTAGTAATGATTATAGGTACCTATATCAAATATTAGAATTTAGAATTCTTCAAATTTTTTTATAAATTTTCTGTTAGAAATTCATAAAAGTTTTTCCTTTCATAGCTAACATTATAAATGTTGATAGAAGACTCCTCACAATTGGTACTATCTTAAATAAAAAAAAAAGTTTACTGGAAAGTAACATACATTTTTTATGAGCGTTTGAATCTAAAATGTGTAGAACATTGAACTTTCAATTTTTATCAGTAAATTAACGAAATTTCATCTACCAATTTTTGATATTATACTGTCCTAGTATAGATACTTGAAATTTTTATCAAATGTTAAAAATAAAATTTTCCTTACATGGTAAAATGTTTAAACAATTTTGACTCTTTTTGAGGTATTTATAACAGAGAAATTTTTCAAATATTTTTAATTATTTTTCATTGGCAATTCATAAAATATTTTCTTTTCACAGTTAAGGCCCAAGATTAAAAATGTTAATAAAAGATTTCACATAAGTTTGTCTACCTATAAAAAAACGTATACTTAAACTTGAATTTTTTATGAGTGTTCGAACTTATAATTGTCACGATATTCGATATTCAGCGGTAAATCGAATTCTCATTAATCGATTTTTTTTGAATTTTGTTGTATTTCCAAAATGAATAACCTTAGACTCTTGAAATGTTCATATTTATATTAGCATTTTCCATACATCGAAAATTCTTTAAACACTTTTGAATTTTTATGAACTATTTATGAGAAAATTTTTCAAATTGAATTCAAATATAACACATCCACTACAACGACATTCTCAACAACTATTGTACAGAAAAGCGGTACCCACTTGACCACATTTTTTTATCCATTTATACATCCAGGTTACTATTTTTATCACCTAAATAATATAATATACCTCATGTATTCATCAGGTATATTACTGTTGATTTACTTAAATATTAGTGTCCTTATGTGTTCATGGTGCATTTAGGAATGGTTATAGTAATTATAAAATCAAAGTATGACGTATGTTATTTTGGGGTGTGGGGGCGTAGCCCCCGCGGGTTTGTGTTCTCTACATAATTTTAGCACCCCCAGTGTTTGGCCTCTAGTTGCGCCTATGGGTGCTGCTTGAGCAGTGGCGTATCCAGGGGGGGGTTAGGGGGTTGTA